TCTCAGTAAGGACTAACAACAAAACCACTAAATGTAACCCGTATTTATGACAGAAACAAAAACTCTTCAAAAGTCTCCATGTCTCATCCGGAAAAAGTGGGTAAGTACAATTACTTGTAACAAGGTGATGACTGTGCGGTAAATAAGTTTCAAGCATCTAACTATACACAAAATAAGTACTTAGCAAACTAAGTTTCATTTAATGAAGCTAAAAGCTATGTTGGACCACATCCTTAACGGATCACATATGTAATACGTGTGTTACAAATAGGATCGCATTCGTAAGACATGTGTTACCAATGGGATCCAGTCGTAACAGGTGTTATAAATGGGATCCTTTACGAATTGGTCCAACAAAACTATGTTCAAGTAACCTTAAAATCTAGCGAAACTACCTAGCAGTTTGTCTCTGTACTAAGCGTATTATCTTCTTTGAAAAGTTTCAAGTTATTGTAATACAATATATGGCTAGCTCCAGCATTAAATTAATTTTACATACGTGCATATTATATTTTAATGTCATAAAGATAAGTACCGCATAACGAGTTGATATACAAAATGTAAACACATTGAATTAAAAGAATGAGTAAATTGTCACTCAAGCAGAAACATTCTGATTTTGTGACGTCACGTCAAAATATATGCACGGCCGTGTAATACCATTTTTTACGGAGCCGCGAAATCGACACGGGTATGTGATGAACTTTCTTTTCTTTATTATTTGTAAAGTTGAGTAAAGCATTCCGTCGAGGAATCTAAGAGTCATTAGAGAATTGATTAGGTTAAAGTTCGAGTTCATATTTTCAAAAACGATTCCATTGACAACAATAGGTAAACTGTCATTCGTCCTCAAATACAAAGCACATCGTCATACAGATTATAGTCTTTGAAAAGTTCGATATAAGGTTTTACGTGTATAACTGCCAACGTTTCAAATACCATTTAAAATTTAGTAATATCAAAGTTTAACATATTCTTTACAGAAGTATGCAAATAACAAAAGTGACAAAAGTTTACTCTTTTGTTTGATATTTATTGACTAAAGCGGAGATAAAGTTTTGTATGAGGTATATGGAACAACAACAACAAACATCTTTTTATAAGTTAAGGAATATTTTCACTTATCTTTCTCGTTAATGAAGAAGTACATGTACTAAGATAAAAAACTATCTGTTGAGATAATAACAAACAAAAGCAAAGAAAAGCCTTTTTTAAATGATGATTTATTAAAACAGGATTCTCTCAGTTTTGATAAAATAGGAAGAATATGGGTTCAGAAAACCTGTAAGATGAGGTCTGTTAGATACATGATAGATAACGAACCAAAAACACTAAAATGTGTTTAGAACTGCCAACACTTTGTTAAATAATAGATAAAACCTGTTTATCTATAAAACTTTTGTACTTTCGGTTTCTACAACCATAATAATAAGTACATGTATGTAAATGCAATGTACTGTTTACTTTTATATTTATAAATTTACCTAATTAAGGCGGGCTTATACTTGATTTATTCGAATTAACTTATTTAACAACTCACATAATTAAATTACTATTTCTGTAGTAGGTTAGATCGAAAAAACCGTATCCGTTCTGTGTATTCTTACTATTGTGTTCGATTATCTTAATAAATATGAGATATACTATTCAAGGTTCAGAATCGCATTTTGACAATAAATAAGCATGTGATTGGCTTAACTGTATTATGCGAATTGTTTAAACAAAATAAATATAAATAATAGTAAGAAGAAGTAATATTGTATAAATGTCCAAAATAAACCAAATGTTGCCTAAAATTTAAAAACAAATAGATCCATGAAAATTCTTGAATCCTTTGCTTAATATTAAGGCCTCAACAGACGGTAGGATACCAATTAAAACTAAGATGTACAGACAAATCTTAATGTGTGAAGGCTACTATTTCTTGAATTCGGAAACCTTAAGTCTAGCTGTAAGGGATAGGACATGTTCTATTTTGAAATCTTGTCGTACAGATTTCTACAGACCTCCCACAATGACAAGTAACAGATTACCAAATTATCTCCTGATAATGGGTGTTATGAATGAAATTCCAGAACAATCAGGGCTAAAAGGAAAACATAGTAGTAAGATGGGGGTAAAAATGATGTTCTAAACTCTTCAGGAGACCCAAAGTTGTGTTATGTTCGAATCCAAAAATATTACGAAAATGATTGTGTCACGGTATTGAACTGTTCTTTAATTAGGGGAGGGGAGGTAGTTTGCAGGCGGCCGGATAGCTTAGTCAGTAGAGCCACAGTACGGTATTACGAGGGTCCCAGGTTTGAGTCTCGGTCAGGCTTCACATTAAACAATCTTTTTTTTTAAATTGAGGTGTTTCAATCATTACTCATGGCGAAAAAAGTATTTAGAGAGTAAAGTATGTAAAGGATCAATGTAAAGGGATCCTTTTTTAGGGAAACCTACATGATTCCTACAGTGTATAATTACCGTCTTTGTAGATCTTATCTCTAATTAGTGCTGCACAGCTAAATCCTACCGTCTGTGTTGAGGCCATAATAATAACCGTGAGAAATCCATGAATAATAAAAGTATGGAAAATTGCAAATTTATATGACTCACTGGGATTTCCGCTGACGACAGTATTTATGTATTTAAAAGATGTCTCTTTTGTTATATCACTACGTTTAAACACTTTAAACTATACTACATTAAAACGCAGTGTGCATTTACTCAACAACTAGTCAGCCATATTATTGTAGATGTGAAACCTTATTCTCTCTTTTTTAAATATGTATTATAAATAATCCTGGGAACCTATGTCAGCTGATCTTGATGAAAATCTGATGCATTGTTATTTTCGTTTTCATTTTTCATTCTACAAGTAATATCCATTTTTGATATGTGCCCGGGTTTATTGTGTAGCAAATTCAGCACATATGTGGATGTTGTCTTAAAATCGGTAATTGCCGCTTGCTTTTCTACATTTTTTTCTTTTCCTCAAATATATTGTTATTTCAGTTTGACGTGTATGTTACCAGATACTTATCTTAATTCAAACAAGTCTCTACTTAAACTTTTAAGAAATCAATCTTTTATAATAGATTTAAATTGATACGTATTTCTTGTCTTCCCATTGAGGAATAATTGTTTCTTATTTTGATTCAATATGTTCTTGTATCTTTCACAATTAAATGTAAGATGCTCTGCAGAAAACTAGCATATAATTTATAATATTGGCATCTTGTTATTAATTATTAGATATTATCATATTCTAACGTATTGCGTAGTCATACTATCAAATGTAACCAATAACTGTTACAACCGTAAAATGACATAGATTCAAATATCTGAAAAATTAGCAGGATGCGTTTTATTACCAGATTTTGGTGATAGAAACTTTGAGATAAGATAAGACAATCATATATTATAGTGGCATGTGTTTTGACGATAATTAACAATACATATATCAGGCAACTAACAAAAATAGGCAGGGTCCGGAACAATCAAATTAAATGTAACATGGAGTAAAGGAAACAAAACACTTCTTATGTAATACGCTTTCACAATATAAATTTTGCACATTTTCTGGAACAGTTATGAATCAAATAAACAAGTTGTTCATTGCTCGAGATTTTTAATGTTTATCTCATTTTTTAGCGCGTGTTCAATTAGATCGTTACATTTTTCAAATTTTTCAAATTCTTTGGCACAGTTTGTAAATGCTATGACAGTGTTAGGTCAGCCTTTACGAAGTCACTAATTATATATTATTATTATTCCTTAAGTCAGCATTTATATTATACGAGTATTAACCTGATTGTAAAGTAAAGAACTAATTTAAAATATAAAATATTGCTAACAGGATTTGGATATTGAATAACACGATTTCCAAAAGTTCCTTCTTTTAGTTCATATTGTAGTTTTCATTTCTAAAAATAGAAAATTGAAAATCCTACTTTCGTTTCGATGCTTAATATAAGCTTTTTATTTTTAGATTGGCTTAGTTTGAACGGATTTTATATTGTTATAAAATAGACAAATTTTATGAAGATTTTTTTTTTGTTCCACAACCATGAATTTAAATTTGTATGTTTATTTTTTTTAATTAACGACATTGCTCTAATATAGAAAATATATTGCAATTAATTTAATCATATTAAATGAATTACAAATATTTCTTAAACAAACGGAATGTTTCAAATTTCAATGAATATATCAAAATTCAAAACACTTTCACTGAGATCAAATGACACCGAAACAATATAACATAACTATGTAGATTTGCAGAAATATAGTGCTATCAAACAATCATACTTTATTTCCTTGCGTCGTTTTGTGTGTGTGTGGCGGGCTAAAAAAGTATATATATATATTATATGTTTTTAACAAAACAATATTAATATTACTAATTGAAGAAAAATGTCTATCGGTTTCACCCGTCAAGATAATGATATTAATAACGTTAAACCCCTATATACTCCTATAAATATAATAAAGTAATGTTTAAAATAATGTTATTTTATTTTCACATTGCTTTGCTCTCATTGTGATCGTCATAATTTATGCAATGCTTTAACAGGTATAAACTAGTATCACAAAGTGTTACCGAATTTAAAGACGATTGTGCTGAAATAAATGGTTGTTAAAATATTTGTATTCTGATGAATATCAGGCGTTGAATAAGAAACTTATCAGATGTTGCTCGCGTATAAATATTTTGCTGGTCCTTCGGGATCATTATGCCAGTGTTGAAAATTGAGTACAGCTCAATTGGTTGTGAGGGATGTTGCACTTTTTTTATTATTCCTCATGTCGACACTCAATTAAACCGAGTCTACAATTTTCATGTAATTTTGTTGGAGGAATCAGACTTTACCAAAATATTTTAGTGTTCAGATTTCAAACTGACTTTATCTTTTAATCATATAACACTCTGTTTACTATATGCTTAAAAGGCCATACTGTTTAAGAAAAACTATATATATTTAGATTCATTTATTTTTTTGGTGTCATTTCAGATTTCAAATCTTTTGCGGATTACGTAATAGAAATGACATTCCTGGAGAACAATGGTATCGCTTAAGGGCAACAGATTCAACAAGTTCATTTCAAAAGCCGACCTTATAACTTTTTATAAAAGACTAAACATCTGCAAAGAACGCATATATTGTTTGAAAGGATACGGTCGTGCTGAATGGAAATTTATAAAGACAATAATTGATATCTTTGCACGTGATATTTGTGAGGCAAACTCCTGTCACCTGTACACGAGCATAAATGACGGATCTCATCCAATGCTTAACAAGCGGACGCTAGACAAGGGTTGGAAACATTAAATATATTGATATTAAAGCTACATTTAACTACTTTACAATCTGATTGATTTTCATAATGCGCTCGTATTGAATTCATTTATTTATTACTCAAGAAATAGTTCGGAAAAGAAAACGTAATTCTAATTAACTATGGCCGAGCTTTTTGCTGCAGCGAAATTTCCTCAGCAGGTTTCTATAGATCAAGATAACTCTGAACGAAGCGAAATCGCTTTTTCAAACGGGACATCATTTCCATCAATCTCAAAATATAACCCACAAATCGTTGATCGTCATACAGTTACCGACCCTGTTACAAACGTGCAAGAAACCTTATCAAACTCGATACCTCGAGAGACTCTGAGGACCACACGCAGACCGACACCTCCACCAAGACATGCGGACTACGTGGATTATGGGCAACGGCTCCGATCTTTTGCGAGGTGGACACGTTCTAATCCTGACCCTGTATGCTTGTCTGAAGCAGGATTTTTCTATACAAGTCAGTTATTATTTAGTTATTGCTGTTACAGTAAGGACTCTTTCATAATGAAATAATGCGTGACCAACATGTTAAGTCACCGTTTACAAGAGAAAAACATAGTAATACTTGGTAATGTTATTTCTTACTCTAAAACACAAAGGTATTCACAAATTTGCCAATATTTTATGCAAAAATGAATCTCTGATGATTTTTTCCGTATGTTGCTTTCTAGTTCGGTTGTATGATCAACACACTACCAACTGTAGAAATGGTTCAAAAAGTTCATTTAAAGATTGTTGTCATATTTATATCGTTCTACATTAAAAAAAATTCTGGTTTTGGAAAAAAATAAAGAGACACAAAAAGTCATGATATCTTTTATTGTATTGCAGATCAAAGCGACTTAGTGCGCTGTTTCCAATGTGGAATAGGCCTAAAAGACTTTACTGAAGGCGACGATCCATTACTAGAACATGTTCGATACTCGGGAGACTGTAATTACCTCCAAGAATACTTGGGACCTGTAAGATTATCATCAATAAAGGTATGATTATAGTCCTTTTTAGTTGAATCGGGTTTCGTTTTACATTTAAGTCATGTATACCGATACCGGCAGATGCAGAATCATGATAAAAATATAGAACTTACAAAGACACGCAAGGCAGCTACGAAAGATCTTTGACCCTTTTTAGTCGTCTCCTGCGCTTTCATGAATCAAATAAAGTAATACATGTATACGAAACTTCTGGCGAAATAGTAATGAAAATAGTTCTATGTTAGCAATAAGTCCCTTCATGCAATGGAGGTATTGCACATTGTATCATTATTTTCATAGTAACTATTTATATATGTACATGTAGTTGTGTTTAGAAGTCAACCTGCAATGATATTATATGATATAATATGATATGATATGATATAACGTTTGACTTCTCAGCTGTGTCATGACATGGTTTGTATAACGCCAGTGGAACTAATGTGCATTATTTTTAGTTCAAACGTGCAAATGGTTGGAATACACCAACCCTCTGTCCATGACGTATTATTGTTTACTCGTGTAAATAATGTTCTTTTTTATATTGAGCTGTATTTATTGCCTATGTGATTTAGTTTAAAAGGCTAGTAATTTTCTTAATGATTTGTGAATATTTCAAACAAATATAGCCATGTTTAGTAAACAAAACATTCTTTTCAGAACAAATGTGAAGAACAAGATAAAGAAAAGGCGATCCCGAGAAACTATATTCAAAGTAAGTTAACAGATGATTTTAAACATAAAATATGTGTGAATTTAAAGAACACATTTGTGTCATACTGAAACAATATTGATATTAACGCTTGTATAGTATCTATGTACTATGAAGATATAATATTTCTAAAGCATTGATACGTTTTTATAAGATCACTCTATAAAATCTTGATTTTACGATGGAATTAATGGTTTATATTTCTTCCTATTTAGATTGTCGTCACCCGGAGCTAAAGACATATGAAGCACGCCTTTTATCTTTCAAGAATTGGCCGAGACATTTATCCCAGAAACCAGAAACCTTGGCAGATGCTGGGCTTTTTTACCTTGGTAAATATATTTTTTCAGTTTTAGTCTTTTAAGTTCCGTGGTGTTAACCCTTTTACATATGTATGCTTTTAAATCTTTTTTGAATTTCCAGAGGGCAAAATATACGAAGAACACTTAATTAGCTATTTGAAGAATAAAAGATAATGTCTTATATGCTAAAATTTGTTGTTGGCAAATTATCTCTTACTTTATGAAACGATATAAATATGAATAAGTGAAAATTATAAATATGGTTGATTGTATCTGGAAATAAGAAATATGATTGCAAATAATCTTTCACTCTAAATAATGGCTTAGGAAACATCAATTGTGTACCATTGCATAATTTTGTTAGGGGATAAGGGTTAAGTTAGAACCACAATGATGTAAAGTATTAGACTAAGTACACTCCATTTAATTACGGTGCAAGTGCAAAAAAAAAAAATACTTTCCTTGCTACTTTGCTAAATACTTATTTTTCAAGAAGTCGCACTATTACATGTATTATTTTTGAATATATCTGCATGACTATATAATATGTCTATTGCCATTCCTTATCCATGCAGGCATTGAAGACCTTGTGCGCTGTTTCATGTGCGATGGTGGCTTAAGGAGGTGGGACGAAGATGATGACCCCTGGACGGAACACTGCCGCTGGTTTCCGGATTGTGCGTATGCCAGGGAAAAGAAAGGTGACGAGTTTATCGCCCTTGTAAAAGCCTCGGCCGAATATAATTCAGAGGTGTGTTTTAAAGTTTACTTATCTGTATATAAAAAGTTGTTTTCTTAAATTTTCTTCTTGCGTAAATTAGGGCGGGATAATACCATGAGTATTACAGTATTTACAGATTCATAATAAATTTAACTTTTCTCTTGAATTTTATATGTACCTAATAGTTTACTTTACTTTTTGTTTTGTTAACGTGGGTAAAATGATGCTTTGATATTTGCCTAATGAATCAGTAAATAAGCTTCTCGAAACCTTTTAGATCAAAATCATAAACTTGAGGTATTTATAGTGTAGATACTCACCAGACTTGGATCAGGTAAAAAATACTTTGGTGAACGGGAGCTCGATGGGAATGAAAACCAATGAAAATTGCGGTCTCGGTTTGATGAAGACATTCTAACAACTGTTGGTCAAGCTGAATGAAAATTGAAATAAAGTAATTAGTAGCCATTTAAGTTAAGAAAATATTTCAGCTCAATTTTAATATGAATCAGTACGATTTGAATTATTCAAAATATATCAGTTTCGAACCGGATGAAGGTAATTAATGTTTCCTAGTACTTGGTCGACATCCGAGTAGACGTTTGTATCCATGATCCGCAGTATTTGACAGCCTTCCATCGTAATAACAAGGTGTCCGCTCCGATTAAATCATTTAATCATTATTGTATTTCTTAATTCAGAAATTTAATTACTCCCATTACTGGAAGATATAGAACTTGTATTGAAACAAAAATAGCCATAGTATCTGCACATTAAGATCAACAAGGAAATGCAGCATTCAATGAACGCACCCCCAACCCCCCACCCCCGAAAAAAAATTTAACGTACAACAAAGTATCCCAGCAAAGCATCAAACAAACACAGGGAAACACTGTATTGATTGACTTCATATTACCATGTACACTTTACTTAGTATAAATGTATGTTCCAACAGCACCAACAAGTCTAGTGCTATTTTTATTTTTATTTTCTTTAGGAAACTGGAAATGCATCCTCGGACACAGAAGGTACTGGAGATGAAAGTGTGTCTGCCACTATGGAGAGACTTAGTTTAATGGACCCTGAGATAAATGCTGTCCTTGACCAACATAAAAACATATGTCTTGAGATGGGATACGATCTCAAAGATGTAGATGAAGCTGTCAAAGATTTAAGAAACATGGGTATGTGAATGTCTAGAGCTATAATTATTAATATTTTAGTATCGCTATCAAATCAATCTGCACTGGCTGAAAAAATTCATTAAAACGGTTGATAAAATAACATAGAATATAAATGAAAAAAAGTTACCTAAGCAATGGAGATGAAGTCAGTCTTCCATATCATCATACAGCAGCTAATACGTATCTAATGAATCTATTTAAAACAATGTATCAACATTATTATGGTCTTTAGAAAGGAAGGTTTTTATAACAATAAATAATAATGTTCATAAAATTTATCATACATAACAACAAATCGCCAAAGAATTATATATATTGTATATGAATGTTGTTTGAAAGTGCACATGTGAGACACGTGGTCTTATATGACATGTGCAGTGTATTCTTCCGGCAGATAATAAATTATTCAAGAAAGAAATATTATAATTCATCATATATTATTCAGACTAAATTACTAAGAGCTTTATCAACATTTATTTTTCAAGTAATAAGTAATATTTTTTTTAAGAATATACATTTGATACATTTCTGTTGTTGTATCAACATTTGAAATATTTATGGGAATTTGTGCCCATTGTAGATTTTTTTCAATTTAAAATGAATATAGACGCATTTATTAATAGGTTTGAGAATTGCATCAGAACCAACAAATTGTCTGATAAAGGAAATCTCCAAATTCTGCTCCAAAGTCAGTTATCAATGCAAACCGATATCAAATATGAAATATGTTTCATTTTTGTTGGAATTATTCCTTATATTTGAATACGGAAAAGTCGAGGTCATTAGAAAAAATAAATCTATATTTACTCATATTATATCATTGCTAGACGAGTCAAAACATTCAAATATCATAGCATTTTAAGAATAGGGAACTCACATAAAAAGTTTTTTCTGCAAACTTGCAATTAAAGGAAATGATATACAAATAACAATATGTAAGCATATGATTTATCCATAGAAATAAGTCAAATGTTACACCCAGAATAAAGGAAGCTCAATATGCCATTCAGATAGCCTAAATTGATGGTAATTTATTACAACAGAAAACATTCTAATAAATATCTTGAAGATTTGATAATTTACATTTTAGAGTCTAGATCTGTGCGAAAATTTCCAAATTTTTTTTTATCTCAAAGGTAAAATATACCTAGTAAGGGAGATAATTGTTGCGACACTTATTATAACAAATTCAAACACAATTGTCCAGTTTCTAATAAAGAACTTGAATAATATACAATTTTCCACGTATGATGCTTCTTCTTGTTGTGGCAAAACCTTACATTATTAGGATGTATTTTCTAATTATAGTCATCATTTTATTCTAAAAAGGTTCCATAAAGCCATCCATAGATGAAATACTAGACATGGTTGAAGTCGTCAAGGACAGAAGGGAGTATCAGCTGAGAATTGATGATATAGAACAGAGCCATTCAGGTAAGGAGTCATTTACATTGTGTACATACATAATGATCATTGATTCCAGCAAATGATTTTAGCCAAATGTCGCAAAAACTGTAACTCGATTATTGCACTTGTGCTTCATTAAATCAAAATTCCATAAAGTATAAACATGTCAATTTATGTTGCATATAAATGCGTTTATTATTTGATACAACAACTTTTAAATAAAATGCTGTGAATAATGCTGCGATATGTCGCAAGTTTTCTTTTTAAAAAAACGTATTTTGTCAACCCCCCCCCCAAAAAAAAAAATATGTACATACATGTAAAGACAGTTTCAATACAATGGTAAAACATATTTGGCAAAAGTGTTGACGCACAAGGTCTCTCTACATTGGCAACGGGTCTTCTGTTGTGCAGTAAGCTACAAGAACACATTTTTCAAGTAATTTTTGTTATGAATGAATGATGGTGAATTCTCAGTACTATCATTTCTATGTGAAAGTACAAGTAATACATGCAGTTAAGATATGAACTATTAATTTGCTTCCTGTACAAATTGACTCGTTTATTTATTTTAGAAGATCCTCTTGAAGAAAACAAGCGTTTGAAGAATTTGGTTACATGTATGAAATGTCGTAAAAACAGCGTGAATGCTTTGTTCCTTCCGTGTACCCATCATCGTTTGTGCATGGAGTGCTCGGAACAAGTAAACCAGTGTCCTGTGTGTAATAAAGATATAAGGCAAAAAATCAGGACATATCTTGTGTGAAACGCTATGGTCATTTCAAATTTATTGAAAGAAAAGAACCTCATTTCATTGAATATTTAAGCGGGACATTCACTTTTAAAAAAAAACGATTAGATACAATTCATATGACTCTTGCACTCTATTTGATTTCATTTATGTAGATGCTATTACTTGTGATATGTTTTCCTGTGATACAAATGAGTTATTGTCAAAATATGTGATTGCAAAAGAAAGTTTGCACTTGATTACTTAGAAATTCTGTATACACACCTTAGCAAAACAGTGGCACATTTGGAACCAAACTTTGCAGCAATAAATTGACCATATATGCATACAATTGTTTAATTTTGAATTGAAATCTAACAATTATCAGAATTTTGGTTTCGTTTCAATAGCGGAAGGGTAACAATGTAAGGTTGCAGAATTGCGGTTATTTAACACTTTTTGTCTCCTTAATTGACAATGAATGAGTATCATGAATCAGGTCATTTATGGATTGACCTGACGTAACGTCATATGGACTTTGGTCCATCGTTAAGTTTATATATTTCTGCAGATTTTGATACCAAATATGTTAGTACTTTGCTTAAGTATACGAATTTTCCTGTAAGCATGTTGCAACACTGTATATTCCATTAGAATTTATTACCTAATGCCGTCTATAAATACTAATTCCTTTTTTATAACTGTTTAATTGAATCGCTGAAATCATGTGTGATGAAATGAACTGTTGGGCCGTCAACGTTTTTAAATGTTTAACCGCTGCCATTGGGTAATCCTGTTAACGCCGCCCGCTACTGTGCGATAATCGAATGTCGCTCAGCCCAGTATATGTTAGCCGTTAATAGAAAATCAAACGTCTTTTTGATTCAGTTGTAACGTTTCTCATTGACATTGTATTGGTATTGGGCAAAGTACAGTTAACAATTAAAACAGTTGTCAAATTATAAGTATGTTATTGCAATTCGATAACAATGAATTAGGTAATAAAACAATTATTTCATAGGTGTTCGTGGAACAGTCCAAACTGTTGTCCCTCGGTATCAGGGATGGCATTTGGATCTGTAGATACCGAGGGGCAACTGTTTATACTGTTCCACAAACACCCAAGAAATAACTATATTTCATATTTATACATACTTTGTCTACATTATGTTTATAATCTATTCTTTTAGTGATATATTAAATTTAAATTTACACACTGTTAGTATATTTTTATATAATATATTTTTTATTATAATAGACCTTTTTTAAAAGTTTATCAGTAAGAGTCATATAATTCATGACTTGCTTGCTTGCTATATAATCAATATTTGTTCAAGATTTTATGACAAAAGTACTGATTCAGTGCGTTTTGAAGTTCATATGTTTTATATACATGAACATGTATAACATTTAAGAACAATATTTTTAAATGTGATATAGATCTACTGTTTTATTATATATTAAACAAAAATCAATGTAATCATTATGACACTTGAATAAACATGTAGCATGTGTTACAATATATATATTGAGCCGCGTCATGACAAAACCAACATAGTGGGTTTGCGACCAGCATGGATCCAGACCAGCCTGCGCATCCGCGCAGTCTGATCAGGATCCATGCTGTTCGCTATCAGTTTCTCTACTTGTAATAGAGTTCGTAAGCGAACAGCATGGATCCTGATCAGACTGCGCGGATGCGCAGGCTGGTCTGGATCCATGCTGGTCGCAAACCCATTATGTTGGTTTTGTCGTGACACGGCTCATATATATTTTATGTTTCACTTTTATTTATCACTATGCGTGAACTGTATAATGTACGATATAGAGGAAAACAGAAAGATGTTTTGTTTTATTTGTTTTTTATCAATTTTTATTACGATTGTCATGTGTACTTTTTTCTCTCGTATTTTGTTTAATTTTGTATAACATATTTTGTAGAAGAATTTAATTCAAACACGTACAGTTTTTCCCGATGATGGTTTTATAGCCAGGGCAAAGACTGAATAAACAAAACGATATTTCATAAATAGACTGGATTACTCATCTTAAATGTATTGGTAGGAAATGTAAATTTCAAGATGATTGCTCTTCTGTTAGGCATAGAGGCTGTGATTTGATGGATCATGTAATATACACAAATGCTATCAGGTGTCAGAGCAAAACATATTTTTGGTTATTGTATTGTTTGTATTGCGTTTAAATTTATCAAACCTAATTGTAGAAAAGATTGTATTTATAAATCTGTAAATCATATACTAAATGTATGTCAGATTATTTTAGAAATGATTTTTTTTAATTCATCGTCGGATGGTTTCGGACAGATAATTACATGCAGCAGTATGTAGCAGTGTTACTTGACTCTGGAAATATTTAGAATATTGATAAATTTGTTAGCGTTTTGTCTGTGTTAATAGGTTATGTTGCTTCTACATTGATAAAGGAGATATTAAACTTCTCCATGATAATTATTTTAAATGAATCAAATGAATTTGTATAGTGTTTATGTATATGCGCAAGCCTTAGGTTATATATCGGGCCAATAGGGTAGTCATTGACAATATGTACGTTACACAAAATGTTTCGATATAGGTATGTCGTAAACGATTTTTGAATTCCTCTGTATGATAATTTAGTACATTAACGATGTTTATAAAATTATAGTGGGTCAAATAAGCACTAAGGGAAACTATTTACACTTATGTTGTATAATATGTTCTCGAATTGGGTACAAATATATAATAGTGTTTATATATAGGAGCAAGCTTATTTTCAGGGCTTATATGGGAACCATTGACATTTTATTTTGTAACCAGGCTAGGTAACTACATTGTACGTAAACTTATGTCACGTACATGTACATAAGCTCTGGTTATGTCACAAGAAGTAATTTATGGTTTAAACTTTATGAATACAGGGATACCTGAAAATATCCTAAATATAATCAGGTTTTTGTTATTTAAAGTTAAATCTAGAATTAAGTGTTACCATAAATAAGTTAAGTGATGTCAGGCTTAAGTCAAGGGAATGTTTATCTGCCTGTCTTTTTTCAATGTTTTATGTTTTAATATTATTTAGAAAATCAGTTTATTCATAATTAGCGGGAGGAGAAGATGCCAATATCGTTACAATTATTATGATAATAATTATATGCATATGATATTGTTATATTTGATTACAGTATTGGGTAATAAGTTTTGATTTTTGCACTGACTAATGTGATAGATACTAACGGTAAACACAACCAAGACTAAAACATGACAATTTAAAACAGGGTAAAGAAAGCCAAATAATTTAGTAATTGATAAGAAAAATAGTGATACTAATGTTGTAAATACGTCCACTTACTTAGATTTGGTGTTTTGTTCAATGAACGATGCTGTGTAAGCAATGAAGACAATTCTTAAAATGTATGAATATTTTGTTTGTAAATTTGTGAAAAAAATAACTTTCCAATAGATAAGGATTATTTTATTAACTTATAATGCCTATTTTAACTTAATGTTGTGAAGTTTGTTAGTTTTATAGAAGATAATAATACAATATACAACTTTGTAAACAAATTAATGGTGTTTAAAGGCCTTCTAAAATGAATTTGTAAATGATGAGCTAGGTATAGAACAATTTTCAAATCAATGCAATATTACATGTACAGTTTTTGGTTAAGATATGAACAAAATATGAAAAAATGAAAAAGATTTGTAAATATATTGTATACATTATTTAGAAAATGACTGTGATGATCTTTTCATAAACTAAGTGTTCATTTGCGTGTAATTGATACGTATTTTATGATGCATGGTTAATGTAAAGCATGTGTTACACTGATCTCTTGTTTTCGTTTTGTGGATTGTTTGTTACACAAAGTTAAACATATTAATAAGTGTACACTATGTTGAGAAGATTGGACAACTATAGCAAATCTAAACTTTATCTAAATTTCATTGAGTCGAAAAGATTCACGTATCGTTAGATAAAAGTATTACTCTATAGGTTTATATTGAGACTGGTCGCCGGACAATAGGGCAACATCTTATGAATTTGTTGCGCCTGTGACGTATAAAAAGACGGCTTTCATTTGGTATCATTGTGTTGTACTAACGTATGTAAGTTATATAGTGGTGTTAGTAAATAATCTTGTACCCATTTATAATTTGAAAAGATTTAAATAATTGTTATGTTAAATTTATTAGGGTTGGACGTATGGATAATTGTTGTGTAGATGCTTTGTTCCAGTTATTGTGAATGTATGCTTTTCATGAAGATAAGCATTAATTTGGAGACGTGCTGCTTTAATATCTTAGTTAGTTTAGTTTCATTGTAATTAGTTTATATAATACACCTCAATCATAAATTTTTCGACAATTTTACGATATATTATTTGCTTTAATCAATGGCCCATTATGACTCAGACATTCAATCATTTTTATTCTTCATTTTTTGTTTAAATATTTTATTATTTTTGTTTTTTTCGTTATAGTTTCCAAAAAACTATCCATTTTTATACATAGTTGAACTATCTGTTGCTTTCTTTGCACTGTTGGCAATTGGTATAATTATAGTGAATGAGTTTTTGTATTGAAGTCAAAAATACTATTTTGTTTACATTTTGCCACCATTCTGATACATTACTGTACGTCCAGCGCTACTGTTTTCAGTTGTTAGATATCTAACATGCTCTAAATCCATATTAAAACATTATTAACACGTGTTTAACATTTCAAGAGAACTGAAAAAAATGAATTTCCGAGGCATAAAGTGCCTTTAAAACATCAAAGTCAGAATAAGGTTATTTAAAGAGACCATTAGATTTGAATTTAGATTTTAAGTTTAATTGTCATCAAATTAACAAGCGCATGTGTCTTCAGCAAACAGATGTAATTGTTTTAATACATCGAGCAATTTATTTAGGATAATTAACATTTTAACCTGAGAAGCAAGATAACCAATACATTTTCAAACATCCAACTTTCGCACACGACCATATGCGTTTAATAACATGCTTTCTGTCGACTTCATATGATTGTCCTTGTTTTTTACTGTGATTTATAACCGGTGTGTTTTTTTTTATCATATTACGCTAGTTTCATTCCATGTTAAGCATTCGTGTATTTTAAATGAAAATAAAAAACATTTTCTTGGTAAAAGGTAAAACTGTCGTAAACATCCACGTGGCGTGAGCTTAACAGCAATTTCTTAAACTTGTTCCGAAAAAATTTATAACAAATGACAACTAATGCCAGATCCTATATTCAAGTAATTTTTTTCTTAAATGGCAAAACATATTATTTAAACCTTTATAATTTTGGTGAGTTTACCAGTGATATCCCTCCTGAAATTTCAGTTTTTCTAATCATGTCTGTTCATCGTTTAATAAATCTGATATATAGCGCTTCTTTTTTCATAGATAATAATAATTTGTAGATCTTTAGAGTCCGATTTTCAGTACAAAAGTGATATTGTAAATTATCATATTCAAATGCCCAAAACATGTCTCATGCAATCATATGTTATATTTGTATCATTATGATACGAATAGAATAGGTATTCAAACATTATATATTATGCAAGTATTTTGTTGTATTCTAGAACATATGTTTGTATACTAACTTGTACATGTATATATACTCATTCGCTTCATTGTTTGTGAAAATAAAAGTATCTATCTATATCACCACTTAATGATAATGATTCAGCGATGGTATTATTGTTCAAATCTTATTCATAACACAAACGATCCATTCCAGAAAAGGGTATATCTACCGGAAGCAATTAAAATGGAATTAATAAGCCTTAAAATGTTTCAGGCTCGAAATAATTGAAATAGCATAATATATTTTGTATGATAATAGCCAGGTATACTTAACTTCGGTTTAAGTTGATTGAGTATAATTAAGTTTTTTATTGCCCAATGGATAAAAGTTTTAAAAAAAATGTCATTCATTACGCAGATCGACATGACGTTGAAAGTGTTGCATGACAGAATATGCATCATAGTGTTGTAATGATATGGGCTAAAATCTCATGTACAAACTCTACTAAGTTTCCGCCACCAACACTGCAGTCATTAACACTGCAACGACTGTGCTTTTCTGAATACTGCACACACGATAATAAACAAATAAACTTGCTCAAGTGATGCTGAACAATTGTCGGTTAAAATGTGTCATTTCCAGTCAATCCAATCTTGCTTGCATTTTAACTTAACACCAAATCTAAAATAAACGTTCCGATCTTGTTTCGCCAAAAAACATCATTCCATGGAGTAGAAAGTGTTATATGATCGTCTGCAGCTTTTCTACTACACTTGCCAAACCACTCTTGCATCTCGGCTTAAAGCAGGCATAAGAAACTTATAATTTAAGTATTTCTCGTCTGTATAATGATTCAGCAGAGTTTTAAATGGAGGAATATTACAATTATAAGATAATTTGTTATTTATGCATAACCAGCTTGTCTTCAAAGCTAGTAATTAACTACATAAGAAACAGAAATATCATTTCAAATACGTTACAAATCAAATAATCAATTGTTGAGTATTGTTATAAATATATTTATTGGAGTGGACGCTTCCATAACCAATTACTGCAAAACGTGCAAGACAAAAAATTGTTAAAGGTACGTCCATTTTGAATCATCGGCAAAAATGCATAAAACATGCTGATCCTTCTGTGCACGCGAGGAAACTGACACTAGTGTACAAATCCGACCTATTAGCTGAGGACGATGAAGACGACAATAAAATCACACGTACATAGATACAAGCGGACAGAAAGATTAGTCAGTAGAGTCGTCTTACAGCCGCACATTTTGGCTCGTTTCCGTTTTATAATGGTATGAGCCAGTTTTCTTATCTTACAGTTACTAAAACACCGGGAGGCCATTTAGCCTAGTAGGACAGACCAACGTAGACGAGCTGGAGGAAACCCCGTTGCTGCATCAAATGTGGAAAGCCTAATAACTCTTGTGCTGATTATGAAGCACTTTGGGCGGTTGAGAACACTAAACTGTGATATCTGATTAGATTAGTGAAATGTTATTTTGGAGATGTAATGGGGTATTTCAAATACTGATATTACTGACCAAGGATATAAACTTTCTTTTAAAGACATTTCCTGCTTTTGCTGAAATAAATTGTTATAGTTAACTCTTTTTTGTGTGTAAATTTTTATGTTTGGTTTGGTGAGAATAATTGGCTTGCCCCTCCTCCAAGATAAATTCTGATAACTGATTACAAAATTAAAAAGTAAAAATACACAGTGCACTTTAGTTGTACTCATGTTGCGGCATGTGGCGGTCAGCACCGTACTTGCCCGTTTTGATTCCTTTTGATTATAACCTTGAAGATTTAATGCTTGGATATGTTCCCTTTCAGTCATGAATTTTGAGAGAGAAACGGAATATTTGACAGCAGAACATTTAAGTTCGGTTGTAGAGCCTTCAGATTTTTTGTTGATAATTGTAAATTGTTGTACTTCACATTCAGTTCAGACCTGAGATTGAAACAGACAATAAGCGATGAGCTCACCGGGGGGGGGGGGGGGGGTCAGAACCTTGAATCTCAGAAGGTCAATAAAATGTTTACCTCTAAAAGAAACACTACAGTATTACCGTAAATAAATATTTCTCTTATTTTATGAAATTGAAAGAACGAATTAAGTTTAAAGATGGCAGTGATTTACCTAGTTCATCGATTTCTTTAGCATTATATCTAGCTGACTTTATGAACAGAGGTTCAGTAAAAGCAAGACCGACCATTGAAAAAATGAGCAGATTGTCACTTTACATAATTGACTAACATATCACAGCTCCAAGATTTTGTGAAATTACTCAATCATGTTTTTTTGACTGTAAATATTCTGTTAGGCATGACAGTCAAATCAACTAGGATCTGAAACATAAATAGATGATATGCATATTATATGTAAATCTTTTATACGTGTTTATATTTTTTCAATAAAAAAAACGTAGATCTCTTTACCGTCAACTTTAGTGCAAATTGTCTATAAATAGCTACTATGTTTCTATGTAAACATTGAAAAGTCTTGCCCTAAGCCGATATTGCATGCGCAAAAATATACTTCACCCGGTCGATCTTGCAAAAAAATGGGCCGCGTCTATACTTTTTTCAATCGCAGACAACGGCGTATACTATTACCATACTATGACTATTTTGAAAGACCCAATCAACTGCTGTTTTAACAATGTGCTTCGATAACATGTTTCTCAGTGTTATAAATTTTGTGTAAAATATTGCTCTGTCTTAAGCCCCATATTTGTTTTGTTAATCAAATAAAACGTACTTCATCTGGTCATGCTAGTATCGTGTTTATTGGTTATAAGGAAGACCAATGTTTCAAAGTAATTATGTAGCAGATAATTTTCTTTGAATAGTAAGGACAATTTAAATTTTAAAATGAAGGGAAAGTATCATGTGATCCCTGCAAAATGTTTGTAACAAGCTACTTTGATTTGTTAAACGGATGGCAAAATACATGCATTTTAAGTATATGTGTATATGAAAATGGTGTGACTCAGACAAAAAATAATAAACGGTTTGGAGGAAATGAATCATATTTAGGCGTAACATCTGATCAGAAATAAACCATTTGATCGATCTAATCCGGTAAAGTGAGAAGTTCCATAGCCACTTGCAGCCATATCACGTGATCGCAGTGAATCATAGCAAAGTGTAACGGTTCGACTATAACATATACTGTTGTTTAAACCATTGACTTTTTTGATAAAGACTTTTTATAAGTATGGCTGGGATATTTAGATACTTAACACATTGATTTTCTAAATAAGGAAGATATAAAAGAAATTATTGTTCTATTAAGAAATGGACTTTCAAAAGTAAGTGTTTCTTTTTTTTATTTTACGTTTCACGAGATTCTTTTTGTAGTTTTACATATTGTATTACTGATCTTTTAAAATAATCTACAATACAGAGATTGGATATAGAACAAAAATTAATTTATTGAATATTGCAACGTTTAACATGCCATATATACGGAATGTCATGTTGTAGTCGCTTTCTGAGGCTTTGTATTTTGCTACAAGCAACGGTGGAAAATTGATAATTCGCGAGACAGAAGGTCGAGCGAGATATCAATTTTTCAACGTTGCGAGTAGAAAAATACATACTCTCAGATAGCTACTACAACATGATTTTCCTTTTATTATATACCTTTTCGTTTATTCAGAAAATGAAATGTAGTTGTCAAGAAATAAAATCATGACTGGCGTATGAATACGTAATTCTTGCAAACCGGCCACGCCTTGAATAATTTTGGTTCCCGTTTCCAAATGCAACGTTATACAAAGCTAAGATCGGAACCAACGTCAAAAATAGTCCGACACTTCAATATATTTAAACTCCTCACAGTGATTACCTCCCTTGGCAGAATTGCAATCACTGCCTTCAAAGACATCACATGATGATGAAAGTCACATGACGTAACGTCGAAATCCAAATGTAAATTTCGACCGTTACATAGAAAATCTAACGTCATTTTTCTTTTTCTGTTTTATTTTTAACTTTAGTGCCTACGTTCGATATAGTTTATCAAAATTATCAAAAGTATACAAAGAAACGAAAAATAAATTCAAAAGCTAAAAAATATTATCTCGGTAGAAAATATTCTCATAATTTTAAAATTATTTCTAAATATTCATATTATTTATCTATTTATTCATAAACATTGTTAAATAAATAAGAAAAAAAATTATCTGATTGATGAAAGCAGTAGATAAAACAATTTTTGAAAAAAATATAATATATCAGAAATTCTGATATATCGGACCTTGGTGCCGAAGAATTAAGGGGAGATCACTGCGTGGAGATTATAATATATGGTACCGTATTTCAAACTCCTCACAGTGATTACCTCCCTTGGCAGAATTCTACGCCGAAGAATTAATTAAGGGGAGATCAATGCGTGGAGATTGACCGTATAATACGGAATTTTCTATCCGTTGCATTGAAACGCATTTGCACTTCAATATTGGCGTGTATTTTAGGGAGAAAATTTATGGGTATATAATGAAATACTTTATTTAACTTTACCCATGAAATATGGTGCTTCACTATATACCTAGGGAGTTCGTAACCATTTTTCTTTGATAATGAAATTAAATAAAAAGGCTATTTTTCCGTTTTTCGTGAAATATGGTATATAGTTTCACTCAACATGATAAAATGCCACATATTTTAACTCGCCATCCCGGCTCGTGAACATATGTAGCATTTTATCATGTTTCGTGAACATCTTCCACAAGAAAGGGGTTGTTCTAAATTGAAACATGCATTATGTCAAGTTAAACCCTCACAAAAGACATTCATGGTACTGCGTTGCAATCGAATCCACTGCCGTCTGCGTTGTAATCAATTGTTAAAAAGGCAATTACAATTTTCAAATATTCCAAATAATGGTTGTTTTGTGCAAGTATTATACATAATTATGGTGGTGCATTAAGGGGCCGTTTTGCACACATTTGTACGTGTTTTAACCTAAAAAAGGCAAAAGTGGCGTCCCAATGTCAAACTGTACAGAAGTGTTAGCAAAAATGGCAATGAATTGCACCGTGTGTGTGTGTAATAAGTTGGAAACGTACATATGTGGGCTCCAGTCTCACTACGTGTTTCCGGTAAAACATTAAAACATAAAG